TTATTATTATCATAATCCTTATTTTCAGTATTACTCTTATTTTCATCAATCTCTGATTTCGAAAGCACGTGTCAGTTACACGGTCAGAACACAGTTGGTACTTTCAGCAAGATATCAATATGTAACTGTTTCACTCGCTTTGTTCCGAGGTTTCTGTTGCGATACATAATATTAAGATCTTCGTCTCGCATTCTAAAGAGCTGATTGTGATACCATGCCAGCCACAACAATGATGGAAGTCGATGAGTGGTGGCCAAAATAGTACCTCTTAACCCTATCCGTAAGTCGTGTTTTACTATTGAAACCATACGACGTGGGGAACTCTGTGCCACCACTTTCCAAAGAGGAAATTTGTTCGTTAATTCGATCCGTACGCTTTGCAAAGCAGTCTGTCAAAATGATTTTTTGAGAAATACTGAAAGTTTCAAAGAGAACTTCGTACTAAAAGTATACTAAAATGTGAAGAATATAACTCCGGGGGTACAAAATGACCCCAGGGCGTACGGATAGGGTTAACTAAACTGTTGGTGGGTCACAGCCGTTTTTCATTAGCCCTAGAATCTATTGATAATGTCAGAAGGCGAAGCGATATGTTAGAAAAAGGAAAATAATCCCATTTCCTAGGGGGGGGGGGGGATACTGTCAGGCTGTGATCTCATTCTTTATCTAGCTCGTGTGGCGTTCCATTTTTGCCTTGACGTCAATAGATGAATTTCTCACAATTCAAAAAGTGGTTTCACTTTTCTTCTAGATTGTTCGTTTGACTGGATTCTTTGTTGGTGTACGTTCGCTACCTTATTTAGTTTTTTAAACTTTTATTTCTTTGTTGTTGTTTGTTTGGGATTTGTTTGTTTATTTGTTTATTTGTTTGTTTGTTGTTTGACGAATTGTTAGTTGTCTTTTTAGGGGAGGGGGTCGTTGTTTTTTAAAGCTTCAGTCTCACGTTTTTATGGGAGGTACACATACTACACATTTAGTATGGATCACCGTACCCAATCTAGTGCTTCCCCAGTTAGAGGATAGGGGAACAGCTTCTAGATACATGTTCAAAATGAAGATAAGCTGAGATAAGATAAGATACATCTTTATTGACCAGATTCTGGCACACAGGTTTGGTGTTTCACCACGTGTACACACGCACGCACATATAAACACACACACACACACTCACACACACACACAC